TATTTATATATATAAAACAAAATGCAAAAACAAAAAAAAATTTGACAAATAAGGTTAAGAGGTAATACTTCAAACAGTTAGCCACCGAACACACAATAAAAACTAGCAAATGCACTTTTGGGACAATACTTGAGAACTACATAACCAAGGGCTCCTTCATATATCTATTAAAATCATGTAAAAATTAGCAAAACCATTGCCCAGACTGGAAACAACTGAATTAATAACCCCAGAAGAGCAGAAACGCTGGGTTTTGCTGAAGCACCATTTTCCCTCCCTTCTACCATACGCTTCCGGCCACAAAATAACATGAACACTTTGCTTACCTCCCAGATAAGCGTTCCCAACACAAGCTTAATAAAATTTCATGACCAGCGAGAGAGGATTACTAATAAATATTGAAGGAGAACTGAGAGAATCAGAACCGGAGTACAAATGAACATACATTTGTTTACTTATTCTGAATGACCCATGGCTTAGAACACAAAGCATTTCCCGTTAAAATAAAATATGTGGAAACCTAAAATGCTACTGTATATTTACATCAAAAGAAATATTTTCGAAGATACAGCTCTAAAAAGATCAATTACACAAATATACATAAAATCAAGAAGTTAAAAAAAAAATGCATGAAGCAAACAGAGCAGAATTGCCAAGTAGACTTTTTTTTTTTTATTTCAGGGCCCTCCAGTCCCTGACCTGCTAGTCCTATTGCAACTAGGGAGATTGGAAAGTTTAAAACAGATCTAAAAATGTCGTTGCCATTTCCCAAGCTAAAAGCAATAAATTAAGATTATGAAGAAAAACAGGTGGTTGTTTGGATTCTACATAGTCATCTTCACACTGGGTGGGGAACACCTTTTTTTTCTAGACAAAATGAACCCTCAACATAAAAGAGCCATACGATGTGCCCGACACAACCTACAGCCCACTTCAGCCAGTAATGTGGGGACAGAGGATGTTGTGTATTTATGAAATGTACAGCATTTCAGAGAAAAACAGTGCAGTTACTTTGTTGATCAACACAAGACCATCTGGAAAACAAGAAGTTCGCTTGTATTCAAACAAAAATCCCCTGTAATTGAAACAAACAGAAAAGGATTCCCCTCCCTTCTCACTTCCTCAGTACTGTCTGAAATATAACCACTACTCAACATCTGCTAATTTTAAAGAACATATTTTAAAAGTGTTAGTTTGGGGAACAGCAACTGATACAGAGGTTGAAAAGCAGCTTAAGAAAATAATAGGTTTTCAGCAATTTAAAAAAAACCAAAACACTCCCAATGATGACTGGCTGAAATTTTACAGACCTAGATGCCTGAAGGAAGGCTCCTACACCTGTATTCAGGCAAGTAGGGTTGAAAATTTGTGCCTGCATAAAAAGTTCAGACAAAATTATTTGTAATTCAGCTTATTTTAAAAATACCAGGTACAAACACCTCTGGACGTGAAATCCCAGTTTCAAGAGGAACCTGGCATCACTGGTGATTGCCTAAATTTAAGTGTCAAATAGCATTTTTCTTTGAAGTAGTACATCTACTTTTGTAAACACTATCCACAAAATTAGCCATCTGTACTTGTTAGCTGGGTAAAATATTTACAAGTGCATCCCACAACAAGCAACTATGTACAGAGATTAAAAAACTGAAGTACTAGAAGTTGTATATTTACAAAATAAGCAAATTATTGTGAAGAGAAACACAATCTTCAGCAAGAGCAGGGAACGGGGGCACGTCTAGAGGTCAGCGAGTTTGGCAGTGCCAGCAACACCTGCTTCCACCCTCTGCAAGAAGCCTGCAAACACCACTGCAGTTCAGAGCCTCCTGCAGAAGAGGATCAGTACTTAGTAGTCACTTTGGGCCTGATCCAGCAGAGCACACCAGCATGCACTTGGAGATCTGAGCACAAACGTTTCTGGGGGAAACCATCAGGACTTTTCACATGCTCAACTTCCTAATGCATCCACAAGCGCGTTGCTGGATCAAAGCCATACTGCAGGTGCCATAAGAATGCAGCTTCAGTGTCTCTGTTTGCAGTCTCTTGCAACATGTTAGAGCAATGCAAGGATACCTGACCACCACAAGATTGACATAACGTGAACACGTTGCCTCGCACATAAGCTGGCAAGGGGGAAGCAGTTTCCTGAATTTATGCAAAGATAACCGCTTCGTGCTCTCCCAGATGTTACCCTCTAATAAAAGACATTGATTTCCACATGACTTTGCAATAACTTAGTTAACCTTGCGAAGACTGCAAGCCAATTCACAGTTGAACAAAAACTACTCCAATTTCTCTCCCCTCCCCCCATCCCTGACTGCAACTCTTCCTAACGTAGGTCCTGGATTATTTTCTGGAACCTTTTGATGCTGAGCTTTGCACTGGTACACTGGAATATATAAAGGCTGGGTTACCCCGTGGGGGCTTCTAATCACCTTTGTACCGAACTGTGAGAAACCATATTCTTTTTGTTTCTATTGTGACAATCTCTTCCAAAGTCCTTACTTGGGCTTTCTCTCTCCGAGCTACTTCGTCTTAACCTCACTTGCTCTTTGTTTTCATCACTTTCTGCTTCAGAGTCACTCAGCTCTAAGTCAGGACAGTACCCGTCGTTGTCCTGGTACGGAGCACCTTCAAGCGTCTGCTTGCTCCACAAGCGATCTTTTGTTGCAAGTCTTCTTGCTGGCTTTTCACAGCACCGGAGATCTTCCGTGGTCCTCACCAGACTGTTGGTAGCCTCTTTAAAGGACCGGCTAAAGTGTTCTATGGTGGATTTTCTGAAACTGCTCTGGCTGGCCAAGTGAGCCGTGAGCACGGACTCTTGTTCATAGGGTGTCTGGCTGGAGCTGTCCCTCTGGCTGACATCTCCAGCCCTGCCCATCAGACCGTTGGACTTGGCCGCCAGCCTCGAATTCTCCTGCTGCAGCCGCCCATTCCCAATGGAAGACTGTCCATGCAAAGCAGCTTGGAGTGCTAAGGGCTTCCCGGACGGCTGGCCCCGGTGAAACTCCGGCAGCTGCATGGGGCCAGAATCTTTTACCTCGCTCCGAGGCTTGCCAATCCCTGCCAGCAAACCATTACTTCTGCTGTCGTGCTGATACCTGGAGTAAGATTTTGCTTTAATTTCAAATGATTCCTTTGACATTGGCACGCTCCGTTTGCTGTAAACAGTGCTGTTGTTGTCAGGAGAAAGCGGTCTGTTGCCAGGCTTCAGAGAGTTATTTTTGCAATCTCCTAGTGCTGATTTGGGCATTTTTAACTTCAGAGTGATCCTGGGAGGTGGGTAGAAGAGTGTGTTCTCTAGTGCACTTGACAGGGTATGGCCTACCGGGGAAGAGGGGGTGGAGGTGAAGAGCAGAAGAAAAAAAGGCTTTTTTAGAAGAGCATAATCGTTTTGTTATCTTTAACAAGTTTTATAGTCCATTAGAAGGTCATTCAACAGTAAGAAGCATTTGCAAACAATTAGCGTGAAATTATTTTAGGACACTAAATAGAAGTTGGGCTAATGAAAACTGTTCCAAATTATCCACCGTTTTAGAATTTAGGTAAGCATGTTAGCATTCCATTAAAAACAACAATGTGCCCTTTCTACAGGGCTTTAAGCCAGTGAAGTGGCTAAGTTTTGAGATATGACTGAAGTAGTTCCAAAGCAGCTATAAAAAAGGTTCATATTCAGTTTCGTATGGAGAAAAAACAATGCTTCAAACTGAGTCTCAATTTGGATTTAGTTCAACTCTCTGCTTTGTATTATAAAAATCTCTACATTTTAGAAGTCTTTTCGCCCCAATATATTAGTCTTTATGATATTATACACATACAGCATCATTGCAGAGTAGCTATCAAGCTATTCTAATAAGCATTAAAAAAGCATTTTTATTTGTAAAGACACAAATTTAGTAGACATCTCTAGTAAAATGCATTTACACAGAACTAAAGTGCTTTAAAGTACTGTTGCTTCCACAAAGTACAGTCTGATCTAAAACAGTTCAAAAAAACCCCACCTTGTCAGTACTAATGAAGCTTATGTACGTTTCTGGGGTAGACAAAAAAAACCACAGAGACTTCCCTCTAGATTGATCATGAAAAACATAATATGTATCTTGAAAGAACAGAGAGATCTTAATTTCACATGGAAGAAATAGCTGCCTTCCCTATTTAAAAAAAAATAAAAATTAAGGGTACTGTAATACGTACTCTTCCTCTTTTCAAATGTTGTGTTCTTTATTTCACAATGGTAGCTATAAAAATGAAGGGCAGAGTGGGTTTTGGTACATCAGCATTCCTAAGCAGTTACTGTTCACTACTAAAAAACTCTTTTTGAAGGAAGAAGAGTAACTGCAGATGGCAGGCTAAGAAATGCCTCTTCATGCCGTTCATCAAGCATGCAAAGCAACATGAGAACAACAGCGATTCCTATCAGTCACTCTCCTCTTTTGCCTGAAGGAACCATCTACTGACAGCAAGCAAAACACCTTCCCAGCTGCAGAGCCAAGCAGCAAGTGCAGAGCTTGCTGTGGGGAAACAGTACTGTAAACCAGCAGCCAAGGACCAAAAACCTAGAGATCACCACCAGCTCATTTCTGCTACGTGGATGCCATAGCAATCGATAAGTAATAGGCATATACCAGAAAGGGCCATGAAAAAAAAAAAAATCCAAATAAATATTTTAAGAGATTAAAAGAGTTTTGTGTGTTGCTACTTTCGTTGACTGTGTACTTGAATAAAGTTTTTAAAGGTTGATTTACAACGTTAAAAACACTAAGTAAAGAGAACACATTTTTTAGTTTAAATACAGACAGAATTTGTAAATGTTTTACATTTATATGATTACCTGCAGCAATTTCCTGATTAATGAGCTGGACTTGCAAATTGAAGACCTGTTCATGTACTTTACTGTGAGACAACTTCAGCTTCTCTCTCCTGCTTACCATATAGCAGAGATTTCTTACCTACAGAGGAACAACAGGAGACTTCATAGATAATAAAAAAATAAATCCTGACACATTAAAAAAAGTGCATCAGCAGCAGAATTCAAATAACATGATGTGCAAAATCCCTTGGCAAAGTTCTTGTGAATATAACGGAACATATGTAACTATGAATTAAAAAGATATCCTGGAATTTTTTTAATTGCCAATTCAGTGAATGCCTTGAATATATTCTGCAAGACAGCAGAATGTATTGTAATCTATAAGAACGGTGAGCAAACGCAAAATTGCAGTCAAAAGAAAAGCAGGTAATTTCTAAGACTTGCTTGGCTGTAGGCCTGCTTCCACTGTATATGACGCCAGTGATGTTACTGTAGACAATACTGTATTCTCCCAGAATTTGTCTGCAAAGTGTTTCATAGAATTATTTTTAACAGCTAGACTATGCTTGTTTCCCCTAAAATTACTGCAACATTTAAAGTAATATTTTTTACAAAGCTGCCCAGACCTGGCCTGTCTGGACCAAATTTAACATACAGATCATCTCTAAAAGAACACTCTGGCTTCTTGTGCAATGTACACATTTTGACTGACCCATTTAGCAGTTTCTATTCAGACTCCATTGCACTGACTCACCAAGTTCAAAAAGGCCACGTTCAAGGTCTGGCACACAGGTCAGGGCAATCCCCAATACCAGTACAGACTGGGGGATGAAGGGATTGAGAGCAGCCCTGTGGAGAAGGACTTGGGGATTCTGGTAGATGAAGAACTGGACATGAGCTGGCAGTGTGCGCTTGCTGCCCAGAAAGTCAACCGTGTCCTGGGCTGCATCAAAAGTGGAGTGATCAGTAGATTGAGGGAGGTGATTCTCCCCCTCTGCTCCACTCTCATGAGACCCCAACGCCTGGAGTACTGTGTTCAGCTCTGGGGCCCCCAACATAAGAAGGACATGGACCTGTTGGAGCAGGTTCAGAGGAGGGCCACAAAGATGATCAGAGGCCTGGAGCACCTCCTGTATGAGGACAGGCTGACAGAGTCGTGGTTGCTCAGCCTGGAGAAGACAAGGCTCCGAGGAGTCCTTATTGTGGTCTTTCATTATATGAAGTGGGCTTATAAGAAAGACGGAAAGAGATCAGGGCTTCTAGTGACAGGACAAAAGGCAACAGTTTTAAATTGAAAGAGGACAGATTTAGATCAGACAAAGAAGACATTTTTTCCTGTGAGGGTGGTGAGGCACTGGAACAGGTTGCCCAGAGAAGCTGTGGATGCCCCATCCCTGGAGGTGTTCAAGGCCAGGCTGGATGAGGCTTTGAGCAACCTGGGCTAGTGGAAGGTGTCCCTGCCCACAGCTGGGGTTTCGATGAGCTGACTTTCAAGGTCCCTTCTGACCCAAACCATTCTATGATTCTACGTTCCACATCATTGTACTTTCATTATTTGTCTGAGTTTACAGCAATATTTCCACTTAATGTAATTAGAACAGGAAAAGGAACTGAAAGTTCTCGATACTTAAAAGAGCTTTCAGAACACAGAAACAGCATAGGGTCTGGTTGAAAGATACTTTCAAACATACTTTCCCCAGCACTCAACTCCATCTGTTCAGAACTAGAACCTCTCTCCTCAGAAAGGAAATTCCAAGATTCCCAAATTTATAGTCATCCCAAGATATAACTGAGCAGAAAATGCCGTTGCACAAAGAAGTTCAGAAACTTTGAAACAGACATTTCAAACTATGAATTACCTCTACTCAGAGTAAGTACATCAATTTCAACAGAATTTGATGTAAACCAACCACTCCTCAAAAAGAGTCATTGAAATGGTCTCTTGAAAATCACCCCAAAATCCCAACTTTCCATTCAAAGCGCATTAGGGATTTTTAATTTTATTTTTTTTTAATAAGGTTCCATATCCAATGTGGTCCTGGAAAAGGAGGTCTGAGATTGATCATGACTGGATTCAAGACAACAGTTACACCGATGATTGCAAATCCTGGCTCCAATACTCATCTCCTAGCATTTTCATGTTCTTCTCTCCCCAGTATTGTTTTCCCTTTTCTTAAAGCAGTATTTTCTCTCTTCTGCTTTTCCCTCCCCTCTCCTCTCTGGTGTCCCCAATATCACATTTAGCACATCTGCTTTACTTTGTTAGCTTTTTTACATTCACTACTTATTTCTGAGCACTTGAAAACTGCGGGTGATCACTAGCCAACAGGACAAACTAATGGGCAGCTTCCAAGTGGCAACAAGCCTGGCTTCCTCCCCCATCATCTGGCAGAAAAAGGCACTCTGAATGCCTTCCTAATAAATTCCTGCTCTGAATTTCGCTGAAGGACTCCATCATTTCAAACTACCAGCTAGCCGCTAATCTGAGAAGAGCCCAGCTAGCTTCTGATAAAAAGATAACTTCCTTTTCCTCCTCAGTAAAACCACAAGCAGTGGTAGAGCTAGTGGGTTATTTTCAGATTGCTAACAAACCGTAGCACCTAAGGCAGCTACATGCAGTGAGAGCATCCAGGTCAAGAGTGAGAAGTGATTCAGCCTGGCGGCTACCTGGGACTAGCTGACACCAGCAGGCTGGTGAGGAAGAGAGGTAAGACTCTTGAATCAGATGTCACAGGAAGTGGTATGAGTACAGGGCCCCATTATTCTTCTGTGCACGTGGAGTCAAAAAGTCAACCATCTAGGATGTCACCTATTTGCCTTCAAACGATGAGGGTGAAAAGCTCTGCTTTAACACATTTTCAGGATTCTCCAAAAGCTTAATGCACACTCACCAAATAATATTTACTGCTTTGCCTAGGCAAACTTATTTTTCCAAAACCAGAATTGGCTATATCTACCTTTCAACCGCAACCATTACAAAATGCCCTTTTAAGTACTAATCCAGAGTCCTTCCATCCCAAGGCAGGAGATAAGAAATTGTTAAGCCTGCTCCATTCCTCCACTGTTTGCACTTACTTTCATTTAATAAAAGTAACTTTTTTTTGTTATTGAATCTGTATCACTAGCAACTACTACAGCTGGTTCAAATAAATTTCTCTAATATTTTTAACATTTACTCAATGGAAGTTGAAATCAAAAAGTCAATTAGCAAATATGTCCGCTGTGCATAGAAACATGCATCTTAAAATACATAAAGGAATAACCCCTGAGCAAGTCAGGAAGCAGTCCTTTCACACTGGATGTTGCACTGGACTGAGAAGGGACAGTTCCTGAAAGTCTCTGCACCAGGCAATGCAGCATATCAAAAGATCAGAGTTGAAATCCTTACTTTTTATTTTTATTTTTAAAATCAAACTGTGCTTCCCCCATTCCCACTTTTGTCCATGAACAAAGACCTTGCTCACCTGCAAACAGTTTTTCAAAACTTTACCAGTTAATTCTTACCCTCTCTAGGTCCTGCCTCAAATGCATGAACATCCTCATGCGAGTATGAATGCTATCTTCTTTTGGCTGCACCAAGCCATTTTCTTCATCCTCCTTGGGAGGAAACAATGGTTTGTTAAAGTTACTTTTTCGCTTTAATTTCCAGTAATTGTAGATGAAGTCTACAGCAAGTTTAGGAAGGCCCAGTTCTGCTGCAACATCCTCCACTTTAACTAGCGAGTAAAACTCTTCTTCCAGCTCTCGCAGTTTCTGGGCTCGCAAACTGGTTTTCTCACTCTCTGTTTGCTTCTGGTCTGACACGCTCTTGGGGTGCTCATCAACATCAGGCAGCAAATTCTGTTTGTTCTTGCTGTGCTTTAGACAATACGACTTGAACTTAACCTCATCCCCGTCATCCAGAATAGTCTTCATCTCTAAGCTATGCTCAAAGGCACAGGTGACATGAAAAGCAGTGATGCAGCTTTTCACAGAGCACTACAGACAAAATAAAACAAAAAACCTCAATCACTAACAGTAGCAACAAATCGGGCAAAAAAAGAACAGAATTATCTCAATTACATGAAAGTCCATGTCTACAAAAACATACTTCCTAAGCACTCTTAAAACATCTGTCCATCTCTTCGAAGCTGGTATCACCCAATTTAGTATGTTCTCACTTGAAGACAGTGTTCAACAGAAGGACCTTTCTATCCATCTCTGACCCACACAGTAGCAGTCCTTACACATCTCAGTCTTATTGAAAAGAAAGCAACTCAGACTAACTCCTGAATGTCTGTGCTAGTGAACTAATTTGATAGCAAACAGCTATGAAAGAGTAGGCATCTATCCAACAATCATCTGCATTGTAAAGCATCTCTAAACACAGGAAGAATAAAATGCAAAACTGAAATTAGCCTTCTCACATAGACTCATGAGTCACCACAGGACAAGTACATACCTGAATGCAAGCACCAGTTTTCAGTTTGCATAAACTGCACACTAAAGCCCATCGACTTGGTGGAATATGAGACACCTTTGTGATTGGCTCCATCCTTTCTGGGCAAGCAATACTAACCTGTAAACAAAAAAGCAGCATGGAAAGCAGTTATCAAGACAATAAAAACAAGCTCTCCATTAATACCAGAAGAAGAAATATGACCACACATTTATCTCGCTGCAAGAATTCCATGTGTCCATACTTCTTAGCAAGGGACCCTGAAAGATCCCACATGAAAATAATATTGTGGAATACTGCTAGTTTAACCTGGTTGCCAAAGCTGCAACTCTTCAATTGAGGCACCTACAGCATGCCTTGTTATGGAACCAGTTGAGAGACTGCAGTAGTAAGCGATCCTTACTTCCTTTCCATTCTGTTTTTTTTTCTGTCCTACTTTAACAGGTCTAACTTAAAAAGCACCAAAATAAAAGCTACTCAGAACAAAACAGGAACACTTACACTTACCTGAAAAGTTTCTCCTGGTACAATAGCTACTCCTGCCAGCTCACAATTTGGGGCAGAACCAGATCTATCAGTCAGCAGCCAGGGAAAGCCTCGCTTCCCAGCTCTGCCTCTCTACTGAGCATTCTCAATGCAAGAGGTGATTCAATACACTTTCCTAACTACAGATTGTATCAAGTATAATTCAATAAAAAATATAACAAACTTCTCTTACTGCAAAGCACGGTATATTCTCTTGTGCCAGTTTTCACATACTTAGTCTGGATGATCCATTTGTTTCTGGTAGACCAGATTATGGATATTAATACTAAAAGAAAGAAAAAAATTCAGATAAGCACAGGATACCTTCTCCTATTCTTTGTTATAATAATGTCTGCGTATCCATTGTGACAGAAATTTCTCAGCTGCCTGTTGTCCATATTGGGAAACAAGGACTGTCCTCCATAATCTGGGCACCAAAACAGATATATATTATCTCCATAGGAATCTATGAGCCACTCCTGACAGGAGGGACAGGCTTTATCCAAGGGCAGAAACAAAAAGCTGGCGAGCTCTGAATGACCAACATGCAGAACTGGGCCAGAATGAGAATGGCACAGGGCAGAAGATTTCAGTGAGATAACTGTCTCCAAAAGCTTGGATTTTGATGCTTACACAGCACTTTTTGAATTTAGCAGTTGTGTGCTTTGAAGGGCTACCTGCCTGAAACAGAAATACAATGTTGATTCTAGCTAAGAAGATCTCCACACTTTCTATGAACAATTCACCTGAACATAGCAGACTTGTATTTCCAGTGGTGGGATAGGGGCATCTTCTCAATGGGGTTAGATCTAAGAATTCAAAGAAAGGAGGTTCCTAGGTCATGCTCTGTGGCACTGTGAGGCCAGAATAAAGCTGATTCCTTATAAAAACAGTCAAGACTGAGATTTGAAAAGCATTTTTTTTTTCCTAGAAAACTTTTAAGAGCATTATGCTACAGTAATTGTCATAGATTACCTCCATAATAAGACTCTTCTAGGAAAATCCAGGTTATATGAATGAGTTTAACATATGATAATTAAATCATTAACTTTACAAGAACCAGTAGCCTAAGCTGAATTTCCTAGCTTCCCCTTTGGGGTACATCAACAATCACTTGATGCACATATTCATTTTAAAACCTGCTTAATCCCAGAGGAGGAAAGGCTTTGCTTCAGTAGACCTCCTCTGTGAGGTAGACTTATCCAAAGAATAGCAGTGCTAAGCTAACCAAGTCCAAGAGTCACAATTGCTATGCTCAAACTGAGTACTGTTGCCACTCCTCATCATTGCATTGCTCTAAGGATCTTTTAAGTAGGTGGAAAAGACAGCTTTGCAAGAGATTACTTGGTTCATAATTTCCACATTCACTTCCAATTTAAACTGTTGTAGCCTCCCTATAAATTGGTGGGAAGGGGACAAAGCTGTCCCTGAAGTGCTTGAAGGGTTCCACAAAACCATGTCCAACACTCTTAAACATCATCAAATGCAGGTTTTTTGCTTCCAAAACGAAAGACACTTTCATCAACCCAACTTGACCTTGCTCAAAACAGACCTGGCTACAAAGCTGCACAGGTATTTCTGAAACAATATTGTACAAAGATTGACTGCAATTCTCATCCCAGTTACCACTACACTGAGAGGCAAGACTTGATTATATCAGCTTGTCAGGCTGCCCATATTCCTTTCAAATATAAAGCAGAATCTTCAGTGAATTTTTCTGTAGACTGAGTAATACTAGCTTTCCACCATGCTTCCCAGCAGGAGCTGGGAATTGACACAGATGTTCTCCCTGTTACTCTCTGCACCTTTTAATGCTCACCCTGCTTCTTCCCCAGAGGAGACATATAAGGTCAGGAAACATTTATGTTGGAAATACTGTCCATTCAGTGTGTAACACTGCCTGTTTACAGTACCCCACTTTGTAAAAGCAAAAAGAGGCGCTTACAGAGTCAGGTGTGGTTTATTTATACTGGCCTCATGCTGCCTGCATGTTTTTGCTATCGAAAGAGTGGAGTCAAGGCAAAGTCCGTTAGAACTTTGCGGCTCACAAGGGATGCAGAGAGCAGAGAGACCAACCTTTTCATTCCCCAAGGTATCCCAGGACAGAAATGATCCATCTGCCATACCATGCAGCTGTTTTCTCTGTTATTTCTTAATCTTGTATCATGTTACATTTTCACTGCTGTACTCTGAAGAAGTTCTAAGAGTGGAAGAGGGTGAAGAAAATGGGTTTTTGAAGCCTCTTCTCTGCAACGGTTATGCACATGAGCTGCCATCTCGGTTGTCACCCTGCTGTCCTCTGCTCCCCTGCTAACCTGCCACCAGCAGCTGCATAAGCGTGCAGTGATTTGCATCAGTGCCTGGGAAGGGTGTAGCCCAGCAGCTGGAGCACAGCCACTCACAACAGCAGCTAAGGATAACCAAAATTTGATACCCTTCCAGTTCTAGCAAGGAAAAATAACCTTCTGTTTCAGCTAACACCACACTGATTGAGGAAGGACGCAATTGTAATGGGTTATGTAAGGCAGAGAAGGACCTCACATTTCAGAAGACTTGGTATCAGTTTTCTGGTCTCACAGTCTCCTTTTTTTTTTTTTTAAAAAAAAAAAAGAACACCTTTCAAGAAAACATGAGAGAGACTGTGTGTTTACATTAAAAGAGAATAAAGGCAGAAGAATAAAAGGAAATACACCAATGAGTACAAGTAGAAACCTTCAAACAACCCAATCAGTCAACTGAGGGTCAAAAAAGCCTTTGGACAGCATTAGCTCAAAAGGAAGGAAGGGAAGAAAAAACATTTTAAGACAGTGCTAAGTGAGTTAATGAAGGAAAATACCTTGTATATTTGCCTGAAACAATGCTAACCTATACTTAGTGACTCATGAAGTCCCTCTTTGAGCCTTTTACCACAAGGCACAGACATGTTTATGGCCCATTCCTCTCTCCATTCTGCCTTGCTACATTTTGTTAGGGCCACAATGGGAAATGGCACTGACTTTATTATTCATCTGTTTCTTTTTGGGGGGAGTTCCAGTGTGCTGCTGTCCTGGGGATAAGAAAAACAGGTATATGAGAACACACATTCTCCCCTAAAGTATCTATCCCTAGGTCTTCAAACTCTGGGCCTTTTTTGTCCCCCACAGCACTTAAGGCTATGGCAACTCTCCAGACAGGAACTGACCCGCCATTTTAGCAAAGATTCCCAAAGGCTTCTCTGCCTTCTCTGGTGACTGAACTGTTTTACAAGTGACAACACAGGAGATCAAGAGAGAGAAAAGATCCAAGAGGCATTCCCTGCCCCTGCTGGCAGATGTCACCTCCTCACTACGCGTGACACACTTGGCATTGGTGTGGAGGGAGGAGGACGTGCCCGAGGCCTGGAGTCACCACCTGGGCTGTGGGAGCAGCTGGATTCGAGCTCTCCCACCTAGATGCTCCCCAGGCAACTTCTCTCCCTCAGCTGGAGGGAGGTGAGCAAGTGGGAAAGCAGCGTGTTCTCCCCGCCCTGCCATCACCTGCTTCCCAAACCTGCTGGCTCCTTTTCTGCTGGCGAGAGCATCAAGACAACCACATGCAGAAAGGACCTCTTAGGAGAACCAGTCTGCTTAGAGCTAGGAGAGCTTCCAGCCAAGACACTTCATAAACACAAGACGAGAAGCCAGAAGTTTGAGGGTTTTTTTCGGTTTTGTTTTGTTTTTTTTTTTTAAATTGTAAAATAAATCTTTTGGTTTTTTTCTCAACTCCTCTCTCCTTAAAGGTGGAAGAGACGCCAAGAACTACAAGCAGGTCTGAAAGAAAAAATGCAACTGCAAAGGTAACCTCCTTGAGAAGCAGATATACGCCTGAGACAGAGCTAGAAATTACACATTGCATCTGGTTGCTATGCTAAAAAACAAACAAACAAACAAAAAAAAAACCCGGAATCTTAATATCTTCCTCAAAGTTTTGCAAACATGAGGCCGGGCTGCACTTGGGAGCAGAAGGTTCAGAAAATAAGGCATCCATTCCCCTGATGTCACGGTGCCAACAGGTCTGGCTACCGCATCACCTTAAACCACCCACCTTCATGGATCTGTGGATCTTAGCAGAAAGAAAACAGGAATATTCCATGTACAAAATTAAATGCAGACCCCACCTATACACAGCTGAACGTTCCAACTTACAGAATTATAATGTGATGCTAAACTAGATTCAAAATAAAGGAAGAAGTGTAAAGCTTCATTATGAAACTCTCTATATATGTACGCACAGATATATCAAAACAGTCTTTACTTATAAAATATAACATAGAAGATAAAAAAACCCCTCCATCTCCTCAACTTTTCAGAAAAAATTTTGTTCAAAAAAAACTTTAACTACAAATCTTAGAATCCATCCTACACAAATAAAAAATAAGAGAGTGGACGTATTCGTGCAAATGATACACCTAACTGAGCACACAAATTAATGAGAAAATAAGAGGGACAATGAAGCTGCAGCTGTATAGTGAACATGAGCTTACATCAGTAACCCTTTTAGCAGGTCACTCAGATACCATAATGACATCAAGAAGTGATTGCTGAGTAAATGGAGAGGACAAGGTGATTAATTAATGGAACATAAGCTGGACACTCTCCCAGTCCTCACAGACTGCGCAGATTCATCAGAATAAAGTTCGGTATTAAGCCAGACAGATACCTTAAATCATGAGAACATAAAAAGGCAGAGGAGAGAATGAGAAGGAGGAGGACAAAGATGACTCTATGATACAAACGAAAGAGGCAGAAATTAAGTTTTACCTCTGGAATCCAGAGAGCACAGCTCACATGTGCCCACTTGGTCCCTGTCCTGGTAGCTTTCATGGCACCTCCTCTTTTGGGACACAGGAGGCACTGAGGATGTATTCCCAGGACGCAGGTGCGACACAGCCAGCTCCCTTCAGGTACTTTTAAGATTCCATAGCACGCCTTGGAGAAAAACAGGTATTGAGATCATTGTGCTGATATGATTTCAGACACAAGCATAAATATTCATACAGAGCAAAGCTTTCAAGTTCTTAAGGCACAGTTTGGCCTTTACTTAATCCTTCTCTAATTTCTTTACCTTAAAATGAGTCAAGTGATCAGAGATAAAACAGCCTCTAAAACAATGCTTTTTATGCCATTTTGTTTTTAAAATGTGTGCTGGTATTATTTGTTTATAGTGTAAAACATCCCATCATGACCGCACAACACCACTGGTGTTAAAAACCTTTGTCTATGCTTTTAGTGACTTTTAAATTTCTCAAGCAAAAACCACAGGCATTTCTTTAAACTAGCTTTTGCATCTAATCCTTTTTTAAAATCACAATTTCCTACCACTAATAACTTTAACATAATTGTATTTAGATACGAAGGGCTATGACGTGTTTTGACTGAAGACCATTTCCTGCAACAAAAAAATTAGCTTTGTGGTTACAGTTCTGTGAACTGTTTGTTACTTCAAATATTTATATAATATTGCAACAAAAATTACAGCATATACTGAAATTATGAGGTGCTGGGCATAACTATTTCCCGAGTATTGCACTGAACCCCTCAGAAAATCAGAAATTTCTCTTAAGTTTTGCTAGGTTTGAAACCTAAAAGCGAAAAAGAAAAAGAAAAAAGTTGTCTGCTTTCCGATTCAAATTCCTATCAGTTCTTAATGCCTAACTAACGTCTAATTCCACTCAACTGCTCCAAATAAAAGCTTTGTCAAAAGGGTGGCTTTCAGAGGAAATCCCTCCATTTCTAACACCGTCTCTAGGAACAGTAACACTGAAAGCCTCAACAGAACAGGATCATTAGCTGTAACTAGTCTTGCAGAATAAAAGCCAGTATAGAATTCCCACACTTGCCTTCCCAGCCTTCTGATTATAAGATCTCAGTATTTAATACGAAGTGATATCATAAAACACTGCACATTTATGTCAGGCCCGTAGAAAGGGGGACTTTCCTGAATCAAATTCTGCAAGACTAACCTAAATGCTGTTTTGATGTGATGACTGTTGTAAAAACCCAACAGGGGGAGCTGTAATCTAAATTTTACAAGTGATTTTTTTTTTCTCTTTCTAATACTGAAGCAGAAGTGGCATTACATCTAAGATCGTATTTAGGGGGTTGAAATGGATTGAAACTATTTTCTAATTTAATCCAACTAATGAGTGGAGGAGGCCTACACTACTAAATCAGTAATATCACAATGTGTTTGAGCCAGCACAACGGCAGCACCGTGAAGAAGGAAACCTCTCGCACTCCTCTTCCCCCTCACCTCCAAACTGTGTGATAACAAACAGACCTGAGGCTACTTGGTGAATCAGGGCCAATCCAGATTAAAAACCAAATTATTTTTGTTGGTGGTGGTGTTAGAATTAGCTCTAGCCCAGACACGCTCCCCAGTTTGTTTCAGACAGACCTGACATGGGGAAGTGTCAGGAGCAAGGAGGCAGCAGGCCATCAGCTGAAGCTCAACTGTCAGCAAGCAACCACAAGCTTCCAACTGCAAATTCATCATTATTTTTGAACAGGCACAAGCAGGGGCTGAAGCAGGCAGCCCAGCTGCAGTCCATATTCCTGTCACTGGCCGCGTTACTGGCACTCAGGCTCACGTGGCTGCTTCACGCAGTGAATCAGATCAGGAAAGCAGCTGGGCTGGAAGCCAGCCCACTGCGAGCAGGGAGATGACAGGTCCTTTTTCAGCCAGATACATTTTCTGAGTATTACTTGCAGTCAATACAAAAATACACTTTTAAAAACACCTTCTTAGTCTCTTTTCAATTTATAGCAAAAATGCCTTCCAGAACAGAACACACAGAAACCACAGGATTCATATCCCTTTTTTGATTATAAGGATACCTCTGCTTGACTACGCTGAGCTCAGTCAGTGTAAAGTCTTGGCTACATCTGAAACACTACAAATATGAGCAACATTCAGACTGAGAGCACAGTTACTGCAGGTGCATACATCTTCTAAAAGAGATCAGTCTGTTAAAGTGCCTATATGTAGTTTCAGATGGCTAAATTTGGACAGCCTGTGTTTGGACAATTAACTTAGTCAGCCAAGGACAAAAAACCCCAGTTCTGAAACAAACGATCTTTAGATTCTTCACATATAGGCAAGCCAGCATTTCCTGCCTGGTTTGTCTTCAAAAGCAAATTTAGTAATAAGGGAAAAATTGTTTATCGTCACAGAGGAAGTACTTGCAAATCCCAAGAACATGCTTCATGTTCCTACTAGACTGTAGATGTCCAGATATTTACCATGCTAGGCCACTTAATCTACTGTAACTGTCAGGATACAAAAATTCAACCTAGTATTGCACCACCCTTCATACCTAGAAAATCACGAACCCCTCCAATTAACATTTAATACTAGTTCAAATTCCACACTTGCACTAACCTGATGGACACAGATATTACACTTGTCACAAAACACCATATCATTCCCATCTTCACTGTCAGGGGACCGACACACATCACAAATGACGTCTTCATCATATTCAATACCCAATCCTTCTTCAGTCTCAATAGCGTGATTCATGTTCTCATGACAGTGTCGTTCCAGCACTTCAATTGTCTTTTCCATTGTGTTTTCATCCAGGGGCCCGCATCCTGCAACAGAGAACAGGGAAGGGAAATTAGAGGACAGTCAGGTGCCCCTGACTGAGTCAGAGATACACAGAGAAGGACAACTCCTAGCAACTAAAGCAGTAGACACAGCACATTCTCCTCCATCGTGCACACTAAAAATAAAAAAAAAAAAAAGTCTTTTTCATTCACTGGCTAATTATAGCATTATCTTACAAATACAAGTAGAGCCACTACTGGAGTAAAAGTTTAAGTTGTACATAAAACACAAGACTGCACCTTGAAGAAAACACTACAGCATAGAAGACAGAAAGCAGTATCTTTAACTTCTAGCTGCTCTCATACAACCACCCCCTCCACCTCCATCATTTTACAATGCTCTTTCTAAATTACACACAATATTCTTCTGAAGACTAACTCCCTAGGAAATAAAACTTACCAAGAACACTTTAGATCTTCCAAGATACTGAAGCTGCCGTCACCCGGTACCATCCAGTACACTACTTGAGTGACCAGCACAATGGATATTGAAAGTGCTTTTATTGTTTTGTTGGGATTTTTAAAATACGAGAGTAGATAAATATACTCTTGGCAATCCATACTATCTGTTCACTTGAACATATACATGCTATATACACTTACCGCTAATAAAACTTAGTGTAAGCAGAATCACTTTAAAAGGATTTGCTATGAGACTGGTCCTCAGCTTGCAGCTTCAGGACATACACTGCATAAGAAACCCTACAATATTCACAGCTACAAGAAATCTCCAAACCGCATCCTCTCAAAATCGTCAGTCAAAAATTATGCTGCTGCCCATAGTCCACTATTTACTCAGATCTTCAAAGGTTGGGATATTCGTGCAACATTAATATCAGAGGCTAACATTTTAACTGCTGGACTATGCACAAGAATATGGCTGTTAATTTTGATTCCTTGTTGCAAACGATAAACAGGGAGACAGAACAGATAAATGACTGCTCACACAAAGTGCCTTCTGCTACTAAACTGTTCTCTCTGATGCCTGAGATCCCTGAATTCAAAGAATTACAGAATCATTTGGGTGGGCAGGAACCTTCAGAGGGCTCCTACCTAATCCCTGTCTCCAAGCAGAGTCAACAGTCAATCCAGCAAGGTTTTTGCTCAAGAGATATGTCTAATCAGATCTTGAAAATGTCCATGGATGGGGATCTGCCCCCCAGAAAACCTTTGGTTTTGCTAACAGCATCCCTGTATGCCTGGGAAGCTTGTCCTTGCTTCTACCTCTTTGGTACATCCTTTGGCACTGGACGACAGTCATGAGTTCCCTCCTTCATGAAGCCAGCCTCCTCACACATCTACTTGTTTTCCTGAATATTTGGATGGATCTTTCATGTGCTTGGAGGAGATCATCTACTTCAAGTCCTGCTGGCTCTCTTCAGCAGTTCCACTCTTCAGAGCTGCCTCCCAGATCTCACCTACCAGTTACCTAAATAAGTAGAAACCTGCTCTCCTGAAGTCCAGGACCAGAAGGCTGCTTCTTTGCCTCACTCCTCTCAGGATCTCAGTTACCACTATTTCAAAGTTACTATAGCCAGTGCTGTCACTGATTATCACATCCCTACAGGTTTTTCCTTGTTTGTGAACAGCAAATCCAGAAGACGCCAAACATCTCCCTCTTTTGCCTACCTCTCCTTCCTAAAGGACCTGCAATCATCCATGGAAGAATGCCAGCCACACAAGCTACTACCCCACAACTCAGTTATTCCAGTGATAATTCCAAGATTATTTTCCATAGCTCACACCCCCTTCATAGCCCTCTATATGCACAACTTGTACGGAAAAAAGAAAGTTTACTTAGCTGATTTTAAATGGACTAACATGTGTGAAACTTAATTACTCTGTTAAGAACCCAGTGTGCAAACTCCTCAGAACTCTGAATTTGTAGCAATACGATGTTCAAGTTTAAGACATAGAAACATCTGCTTTTCCTACACAAAATTTTTAACTTTTCAAGTCCTAAAATTAATTCCACCTGGTCTGGGCTTTTTCTCTCCTGCCTCAGTCTGCAGAAGATGCATATGTGATTCTGGATGTGAAGACGTTTTTACGCACAACAGTTAAGATATAAAACATTAACAGATCGAGCAAGTCATTATATTAAGCATTTTTACCTCCTATTTTTCTTAGTATTGCCATTCAGTTCTCATTCTGCGATCTTTAAGAGATCTCGCACAGCAGAATTTAACTGCTGCTTTTAAAATTAGAACATGCTGTGAAATTACCCATTTCTGTAAGCTCTTCATTTAGCTCCTGAAGCCAAAAGATGTCCATGTCATCCAAGTCATAGCGACACACAGATTCTGCCAGTTCCAAAATGTTAATGTAACCTGGTTCTGTGGGCTCTTGGCTGGAACAGTGGATGTATTTCCTGGGTCGTGTATACAGTACTTCTTTCACCTTTTCTGCTACAACCCTAGAGTGAAAGTAAAAAAAGAAACAGAGTTACACCTTTTTAAGACACATCCTTAAAAGACACAAAATACTGGCTATAAGTGCAAAGAAACCTTAAGAGTTTCACAGATTTTAAACTAACCAGTAAGTGCAGCCAGGCTAGGGAGACAAGATTCTGTAAATGTCATTTCTTCACACAAAATGTACTATGGTTTGCTACATATACAGAATCCTTTTTAAAATGTAAGCCTGTGCATATGATTTTCAATTTAACAAATGCTACTAGTGCAACAACGCAAGTGTTTTCAAAACACACAGAAAGTCTTAAGCACAGAAACCCCTACAATCTTTGTTCTAAATTCTTCTTAAATGATAGAAGGAAATCTTGCCAACTGATTTCTTGAAAATACCAGCTTTTTCACAAAAACTTAATTTATTCTACTGCAGGGCTGGAGGGGGGAGGGGTGGGAAGAAATGCTTGCTCTTCATTTTGGATAAACAGTCTACTCTTATTTTGTAAATTACACTTCATCCATGTTACAAATGTATTGTTTTCATTATGTAAGAACCATTCTGATGCCAAGCAAAAATGTAGGGGGAAAAACCAGCTAAAAATCATCCAGGAAGGAAGGGAGAAAAATATTGGTGTTTTCAATCTTTCAATTATTTTAAGAGATAAAATTCAGCATTTGATTAGTAAAATAGCCTATGGGAATGGAAAGACTGCCCTTAGCTAGATAAAGTCAATCAATGCAAGAGGCCCTGCATGTGAAAGGAACCAGGGAGATACTAAATGGGGCGGTGCCATGTGTGAGCAGCTCTGTATGCTTTCCGGAGCTAACCCTCCACAGGGCAAGGAGAAAAGAAAAGCTGTGGGAAATAAGGCAAGAGGAGTAAAGAAGGAGCAGGCAGCAGTCAAGCAGTATCCCACATAATTCTTACTGGACAATGTGGATTGTCAGTGTTAGCACAAACAGCATTCTTCTGCCATTCTTCCTCCCCCTTCATCTTGCTCATTTTTTCCTCTCATTCCCTTGTGAGTTTTTCTTTTCTGTGGTCCAGCCAAACCTATAGCAATTTTTTCCTCTAATGTAATACCGCTGGTATGAGATGTAATATATTTATTTTTAATAACTTGGTACTGACAATAGCCCCAGTGGAAATTAAATTATGCTGGCATCAGTGCTTTCAGTGGACAATTCATTTATCTTCGTCTCGAAGACCACACTGGCAATAACATTTCTGTGTTGAAACAAACTCTGTTTCCACCAGGACAGGTTGCAGGATTACAGTGTTAATGTTTTCCGAGTCTAAGAGAAGAAAAGTTTATTTATCTGTCTCCTGAAACTGAGATCACTGAACTTCTATAATGTTAAGCATCTATTTGTGGTAAGAGAAGGCAGAAAGTGTTAAAGCTTTGGCAACAATAACCAAAATTAAATTATATGAACAAGTGAGTAACTTTATCAGGTATCAGTAACTACTGCGTGCCTACTGCTCTAGATCAACATGGTTTACAGGGAAGTCTTTCAAGTAACACATATAAGATCTGGGTTTATTTTTAATTTATTAAATTCACCATACTCAAATGAGAAAACATTTTTAATCCACAGCACCATGGGACTTAGGAAAAAAGATCCCCTTTTTAAACTCACTATATAGATGCTATAACAGTGTACAGACAGAATCAGATCTGGACTGAAGAGTCACCGAAATATTTTCCAAACTGGTACTTGTTTGGTTTAAGAACATGCTTGAAGGCTGTTGCATTGGAGATTTAAATGTAACAACACAGAAAAGCTGACTGCATTTAGACAACCTATTTTTGAGAGACCGTCTTGTCTAAGTGGATGTTTCACGCACATGATCTGCATCTGATCACCATTACCTAAGAGAAGGCTGTGGAATAGTTTCTGGACTGGCTGGAACTTGAACCCCTTTCTCCCATTCTTGTTTCCATGTGTCCGCAAAGACATAATATTCATCAGGGTTGACATGGTGAGAATCTGGTAGTTTCATGGCACTAATGAGATCCTTGCGGAACACCTGCAAGAAACACCAGGGAAAAGTGGCTTGAGAAAGAGTGTTGCGCTAAAGGAAGCAGTACGTATTTTTCTTAGTCTACACTGAAACAATGCAGATACCTTAATAACCTTTTTTAAAAGAGTACCAACGCACAAACAAGTCAATTTGAAATTACCTAGATTATTAACTCTCAGTATATCAGGTGCAAGAAGTTCACTCTAACTCAAAACCACGCTGCTGCCCAAAGGCTAATCAGAAGGAAGAAGGTTGTTACAGGCAACCAGAGAGAGGGGAAAGGAGGCCTGCATCTGATTTAAGACTCCTCACTATATCACCTTCAAACAGCTTATTTTACTTGCCAATCTGTAGGCTTTACCCCAACTTAGATACAAGGTAGCATATCCTTTTCTTTCACTCAGTTTAGCTACTTTAAACTGTCACATTTATCATGGGCTATGAACAGTTGCCATGGTAAAACCAACGCATAGGCACTTGTTCATTTATTAAAACCACTTTATGTTTTACTGGTTAGGATCTCCAGGATCAAAGATGAACATCTCCCTTTGCTGAAGCATGAGACCTGTGTTGCTCTGTGCCTGAACCCCAGCAAGGCACAGCGACACAAGCCAGCCTCAGCATCCTTTAGCAAACCTATACAATGAGACGTGCCATCACGAAACAAAGCAAACCCATTGGTGACAAACCTCCAGAACATTCAACTCTTGTCTCTAAGTTTTTTTATGAGCATTCAAACATGATTATCAGTCACCTCAAAGCTTACTTCATGTCACTGTCTGTCAAATACAGATGCATACAATTTAAACAAAGAGAATATGCAGCCTTTGTGGTTTTTTCCTCCACTGCTAGACTGCACCAGGTTTAACGTTCATAAAGGCAAAGCAGCGACTGTGGCTTGGTGTTAGGGAGACATCACAAGTAATTAACTGTATTATCATAACGAGAAATCAAATCCTCAAAAGGCAATAAAATGAAACTGAAAATATCCCTGCAATAAGCTGAGGCAGGTTGAACTCTCTTCTTACTAATTCAGTTTTATAGCCAGAAGAGTAATAAAATATCTCGGAGCCAAATATCTTCATGTACCCTTTTCAATTTGACAGCACCAGACCAGTTATGCCTACTGCAAAAATTCTCAGCTGTTCTTGGAAACCATCAAGTAAACATTATTTAAAATGCTAAAAAACAGGTATTAAAATAGGCTGTTGGTGATCTGGAACATCGGTGTTACTTCATTATGTCCTACAACCGCACCTCACGTGGGCTCCAAGGAGAGCAAGCTGACCGAGGAAACCCAAAACCACAGACTCAAGGCTCTCTTATTTGTTACTGATGCGTTATCTGCTTTGGTTCAGACCAGACCGTTCACTGTTGTCTTCTGTATAAAACTCCTCAGGTACCTAACAGGCCTGTATTAAAATCTGAATGACAAGAGTGAAACCATTAACACTGCAAACATCCATTTCTTCCAAGCAGTACATGTACGCACCAAAAATAAAATGTAAAATGGTTTATGCCACTTAAAAGGCATATTCAGTGTTACAGGTACAGAAACAGGATTATGAGAAATACGGCACAATTCCAAAGAACTCCAGAAGTAAAATACAATCCAATAAACAAGAAGTGCAATGAATGGTTTAATTATCAGAAAAGATATTCCTCAAACTGTATGTGAGGTAAGTGCTTTAAAAACTCCTTTTAAGCCACTGAAAGAATACAGAAGTAGAGTGCTTCATATCAATCCCACTATTTTTTAAACACTAGATGAAAAATGCTATTAAAGGCATCAGTATTCTAACTACACTGCTTAGCAGCAAATTCATCTCCTCATCATCCATTATCTATGTGAACTGTATCATCCCTATTTTTAGAGCACAAATCCCCTGGAGCATGGACTTTTTTGTTGTTTTTTTGACTGTTGTACAGTACTGATCACTCCATCACCACAATATTAAGTTCTCTGCTTCAGATTTCTAAAATTTATAATAGAGGCACCACTGAAGGTCAAAGATTTAATCAATATAAATGTAACTGTTGAAACCTTAAGGAACCCCAAAACTCAACGAAGACTTCCTAACAATTGCTTATTCATACTTGTGATAACAGTGCGATTGAGTATTTCCTGCAGATGCTTGGAACCATTACAATCTCTAGCTCCCATCATTCTTCATTGCTTCACGTGTGGCCAAGCAGGGTCTTCCAACAGTAAAATACTCTCAGAGGACAACATAGGAGAACACTCACTCCATACTTCCTTTGTTGTTGAAGTAAACCAAAATACCCAGGGGAGCCAAAGAGAGTTTTCTGACAAATCAAGTAAATTTTACTTCAACAGTCAGCCTCAAGGCTATGAACTAAGCCAACGCAATGAAGAGCAGACACACGCCTTCATGATTTAGGCGGCCAGCTTCTCCTCATGGTTGTTTCTTTTCAGACACTTCTTTGAAAAACGCTGCAGCTCCTTTACTACCTGTATCCATAAAGCAACAGCTAATCCACTTCACAGCACATACTCTCCTCGTGGCAAGGACCACCCTTCACTTCCACAGTTAGCCCATGAAGTGCAGGGGTCATCTTTCAGTCACCCAAAAGCTTTTCCTATTTCTGACCATATATTAAATACAACCCTTCAACTTTATTTTAACATCATCTGCAGTACCATACATATTGAGAAGACCTGAAAAAAGAGCATGCCAGGTCTAGGCTAAAAAGGCATTCCCATCCAGACACATCACTCCTCAAGAGCAGACTCAGTGCTGCACGTCTTTAGTACGATACAGAAGGGCCTCACAGAGCTGAGCTCCAGCTGACCACAGCTAGGAGAGCCAGGTCCATACACACAGAAGTGGGAAACTCCCCACTGCTGTAAGCATTTGCAGAAGTTACTGTGTGACGGGGATTTTTTAAAAAAAATATTCTTAGCAATTGAAAGCATGAAAGAAGAGATGAGCTTTAGCCCTGTTTACCATGCAGGACTGCTTGGTCTGGACTTGGCAATTTTGCTGCTAGGAATTCTTAATTTCAGCTGAAAACAGTGCAGCAATTTGAGTGAATTACATCAATGAAAAAAAATGTGTTTGCTTATGTCATCGTCACCATTATAATAATGTCAAGCATTTTGTTGAGAAACTAATAATTATTCCATGCTTTAGAGCTGGAGCTTAAACCTACAAGAGGAGACCTTGTTCTTTGGTCAAGATTAGCTTTTTGCTCTGTAGCAAAAGTCTGCCTGGATTTACCGAAGCAATAAGAACTTCCTAGTCACCTCTGCAGAGACACACTTTCATCCCTAAAGCCTTTAAAAGCTAAATTCTACCAAAAAATTATATAGAAATACGGATTCTCTTCTTCCCCATGGCACTAACACACCATCCAATAATGATACCACGGAGCTATGGAAGAAAAGATATGGTTCATACGTTTTATTTGTTTTTCAGACTTCTGAGTCCTATTTGGAAGTTATGTTAGAAGACTATGTTCAAGGAAAATTAACTTCTTAAAATCCATTTATAAACACTTCACCAAAAGCTGTCTATGACTTGAACGCAAACTCCTTCTGGAAGCACTCTATGAAAATCTTCCTCACAGGATCCTCCTGTGCTTATTCTGTGAATAAATCAAGCCTGCGAAATAAAGAACACTATTTTACGTGAAGTATCCTTATCAACTAAAGATATCTGGGAGGATATAAGTAATGCTATAGAGAGTTACAGTAAAATATTAGCATCGAAGACAGTGGGCTTTGACAATACAACAGCCTTCTACAAACCCCATCTTTGCTGAACAATTCAAACATCAGATTTGCACAGACTGTCAGGCACCTTATGCGTATGAACCTTGCAAACCTCAAACCACATTTAAAAAAAGATTAAGAGAAAGAAAAAAAGTCAAACACATTTTCCAATACCCCTCTGCAGGCTACTACTGAAGCTGACTGATGCCATTGCTTATCCACATTGTCTTGCCCAAACAGATATGTGAGGGAAAACAAATGGATGTGTCATCTCTTAAAACGGAAAGAAAACCATTACTACTTCTTGTGACACTCAAGCTTCCCAGTACTTTGACCACCTGCTTATAAACCCCTGACAAGGGTGAGCCACTTGTCACACATGCTGAGGCCATGACTAGACTACTCTCAAGTAGAACACCCTCAGAAAAATTTAAACACACGTATAAAGCAGCAGTTTACACCTAAAATCACCTCGTAAATAATAAAACAAAAGCCTAATTGTAATACGACCTATTACAAGTGTAATACAGACACACAGTATCTGAGCATAGTTTAATCTTTGCATAGATGTTTCACAGTATGTGCAAAAGACTGCCCATTTACAGAGGATGAGGCTCTACGGACTACATTTAGTGAGCTCATCTTGGAAAGGCAGAATTTATCTCATTAATACGTTGCAATCTGGCCATGAAGTTTCTGGATTAAGGCACGTTACTACAGAGGAGTCTAGAGACTCAAAACAGGGTGTTTTTTTTTTGTTTGATCAGAATTTTTTTGGTAGCAAAGTAAATAATGGGTAACATAATTTTAAAATGGACATGAACTACAGTTCCAGGCATGCATACTGACTGGACTGAAAAACTTCAGGTGTTAAAAAAGCTGGGACAGACAAGAATAATTGTAGCATTAATTTTGAAGTTCTCAAACATCCACACAATTTGGACATGCACTGCAGTAAATCCTGATGTTTGAAACCCTACTCCTTAAAACTATTTTTATGGATTATCCAGGATTCAAGCAAATGAAATATTGTACTTTTCTTTAAGTAGCCATGAGTCTTCATAGCCTCCTTTACAAGCATGTATGTGAAATGCCACAAAATCAGATACTAAATCAAACCTACCTCACATTACGTCTCTGACAGTATCTCATGAGCCAGAAGAATGTGAAAGAACACATCAAGTTTCCTTCTGGTTGCTAATCAGACATAAGCTTCAGATTTGGGGATTAAGCCTAACAATCAATTTTTAAAATGGTATTAATTTATACAGATATTTAGAAAGATCTGTACTCGCTATCATCTGTCCAATTCCTTTTTAAATCTTGTTTAATTCTCAGTCTCAACAACTTCCTGTAGCAGACGAGCTTCACAGTCTAATTACATGAAGCATGGAAAGGATATCCTTGTAATTGCTACAGATTTCATAACTTCTAGCCTCATGCCCCCCCTTCCCCTGACTTTCCTCTCCAATTCTTCCATCACAAGGTCTGGCAGTACTGAAGTTCTAGCTCTGCTGTCTCCCGACCATTCATACTTTACCATTACACCTGCTTATTCACTTCCAAAGGTAAAACAGCTCAGGCTTTTTCACAATCAAGCTCTTCTATGCATTCAGGTCACCTCTTGCTAAAGAATTCAGAATTCTTTTTTTCTTAAAGCAAAAAGATGATAAAAATAACCAACGAAGTTGTACCTCTGACTTAAATAAAAGTATTTGAAATTGCTAATTTTTTTTTTTAAATCTACTAACCCAAGCAGGCTAAAAAGCAGCCCACTGAAACATAGAAAGCACGTTCACCAGAGGTCTTGAGAAGCCTGTACAGATGTCCAGGCTAATTCAGAATTTTCTAAGGTAAGCATGTGCATAAATCTAAGTCTCCTATTCTATTACGCATGGTACATGCAAAGCAACATGATTTAACCATGTTGCCCCTTCATTCACAGAATAAAACCAACCACTTTCAAACTGCAAAATGAATCAATTTCCTGCCAAAAGACTAGTCTTACAGTGTGCTCCTCAGGATCATGACCTACAATTTATGTGGCAGTTAAACACCACTAAAAAAGTTTCACATACCCAAGTAATGAAAGCAGACCATTTACTTGTAGAAGACAAGCTACATTTCACATAACACAGCTGTCGCTATCAGCAACAAGGGTTTAAAAACTACTGTTGCTGTGAGATTCAAAACCCTATTTGCAAAGAGACATAAAATACTGTCATCTTATATGAGAAGGGTTAAAAAAAAGCACAATGCTAACTGAACTCCTTTACAGTTTCAAGACGGAGAGAGAACTGAAAAAAAATATACACATATATAAGCCTGATTGTCATGAAGATCTCTTAGGCTCTTTCGTGACCCCACTACCCTAAGGGAAAAGAAATGGCCAGTCATTCAGGGCGGTCCAGCTAACAGGTTTTCCCCGCAAAACATATTCCAACTATTCCGACATCATTTTCTGCTGCAGCTTCTGCAGGGACATGAAACTGCAAAGTAGAGGCTCTATGCCGAGCCAGACATCCAAATGCCTCCTACCCTGCTACTCGTACACAGCCTACTGCTTAGGCCCGCGAGCCCCTCCTGTCTATGTTTAAATCCATAAGGGGCAACACCACAAATGGCATGTGGCCATCATCATCATAAAGTTCTGAAAAACATGTTATGACATACTACTGGTGCACCTGTAATCTTAACACAATTTATTTAGTGAAAGGAGCTAAAACTAATCAGAAAGCAGAATTTTTAAGTTACCATTTTAGTAATTTGTGATAGACCATAATCCCAAAGGAGAGCACCAAGAAAGAGCCACACTCTTGCTTTTGAAATTACGTAGAGAAACACTGTGGTGTGAAGAAGGGTCATTACAGGCTTGCCTTGTTCTCACCTTTTCCAAGGAGGAGAATGGGATAAGTGGACCCCAGGTCCAACCCAGTAACATCCCTTCTGCATTGATGTAAACCCCTGGGATAAGTCAGGCTCTGGGAACGGGCTTTGACATTTGAACTCCAACACTGCACCCCTTTGCCCCGCAGTAACACCAGATGACCTCGCTCCACTGAGCCCATCCCTGCACCCACCCCAATTCTGAAGCACCCGGGAAGCAATTCAAGGCAGATCAGTCCTCCACTGCAGTCACTCATCATTTTTTACAGGCGACCACAGAGCATCATGCTACATACAGACAAGCCCTGTGAAGCAACTGACATATACACTAACCTCCTTGTTCGTCACAGTAGCAAAACTGCGCTTTTATTTGGAGAGAGAACCCAGGTACTTGGGTTGGGCTAGAGAGGAAGTGCAAAAAAGCCTATGTATTCACATGCAATTTTATTGAAAAAGCCAAGCTTACCGGCATGAAAGAAAAACTAATGTATGAAGACCACAAGCAAATATATTCCCAAACAGCTATTTATAGCTTTGACCTTTTAGATTTTCTGCATCACTAACTCAAGAAACAGCCTCCTGCCTGGCAAGCAGAGGTGAATGAAAGGAGAGCAATGCCAACTTGTTAAAAGAGAACCCTTGATAAAGGGATGCTGTCAGCCTGAAATTTTGAATTTCTATCTAATAGATATTAGGCAACTATTACTACAAAAAACTTGTGGAATTACAACATGATTTTTGGAAGGGTGTGTGGTGGGGTCTCTTCAGTCTTTGCTTTACACCCTTGTCACCACTTGGTGCATAAATAATCAATTTCAATGCTCTGCTGACAGCAGCATTTCATGTAATACTCTCCAGCATATGCTTTTCAAGGGGTTGGAAGAAACGCTTGCTTCTAGCGGAAGGAAAGGAAAAACTGGAAGGAGAGACAAGAGTCTTTATGCACAAGCAATAGAGATTATTACTCTCACCTTCCCTTCCATTCCCTTTCCCAGAGGACTTTTTTTTTTTTCCCCCGGCATTCTTTTAAATATTGTACTTGGGACACTCCTCCAGAAGAGGACATAGTCTAAGGTTTGAGAAAATTTTTTTTCTTTTTTTCCCCAGGAAGGGGACCTTAAATGAAAGATGCCAAAAAGATGCCAGTATTACTGTAAGGATATTATGAAATGCACTTTTTAAATTCCAAGTGTGTATTCCAGATTTTGTTCTTCAAAGTTTCATATTTTTCAAGCATTAACAGGCTCAAGATTTTGCTTAGAAACAGGCAGAAAGCAGGTCTTGAAGCAGGTAGATCTCAAGAGGAGGAACTGAAAACACTGCTCATTTTAATTCCTAGGAGTTACGTAAACTGAACACTTGTATGCTATATACATAGACCACATCTTCATAATTATTGCTTTTAATGTACATACGTAGCACATAAAGACAGCATGAAGCAAAGGCAAAGAAAACAGTAACAGGACAATCCCTAAGAGGAGAAGATACAAGAAGAAAGCTGGATGGCTCAGCAGAAAGATGGGATTGGTAAGGGACTAGCACTGAGGTGTATTTGAAACAGCAACAAGTCTGGCGGTTGTATGTGTTTCAGTTCCCATTTGCCCAGCTTGGCTAGTAACAAAACTATTGCCTGGGCAAGCATTAGCAACAATTGCAAGACCTCAGTAGCCATGAGCTGTTTTAAGATTATAACTCTTACAGAACCATAATCCTCAAACCAACATTTTCAAGGTAAAAAGTATATATAGTATGCTTTTCTTAACCTTCTTGGTGGCTGTAAATAAAACACTATGAAGCTAGTTCTGGCCAATTTTGCTTTTATTGAAACATTCATGCACGATTCTCTTTTAGAAATGAATCAGTGAATTTTCTTCAGCTAACTTGGGATGAAAATTAAGCTTCCAAAGAAAGGACACATTTTGGAATGTTCACTTTGTTCTTAGCAAACCAAATTCATCTAGTTGGCCGCATTTAGAAAAGAAGCATGAAGTAGGTTTGCTGAAGAGCTTTTGCTGTACAAGCACAATCCATATAGTTTATGCAACCTCTCACAGTAGTATCTAAGCAGGTAAAAAGCTGCTGGTATAGTACACAAAATTATTTCTGGGATATAACTGTCAGCTTTAAATTCTAGAGAAGCAAAGTGGGTTTTGCCAGTCTTTTTTTCAGTAATCTCAGGCATCAACAGTCATACTAGCATGCTGAAGGACTCATTTGGAGGGAATATGAGAGTAAATAAGGGGAATTAGCTACAAGAAACATTTCTCCCATTTGCAGTTACTATCTGACTTCAGCCCTTAAGAAAGCAAGCACCAAATCTGGAGAAAGCAGCCAACAAATCCTCCCCCAAAAGGGCTACCAGTGGAGCAGCTGATAGGATGGATTTGAGTACCAGCCTGCACGTAAATGCCAGTTTATTCAATTGGTGAATACAGATTCAGTGACAGTGGTGATAGGTGTAATAGGTGGGGATAGCAGAGTAAAAAATCTTTATTGAAGGTAAAAAGCCAAGAATGAGAAAGTGGCAGAAGATGAGTACGTGATGTTTGTACATATCCTGCCCATTTACATGTCCCACTTATCCTAAAGCAGAAAGAAAATATCCTTCCCATACACATACACACGAACCACTTCTTTCTGTGGCATGCTCTCAAATCATAAGACCATCCCAGCTTTTTCAATTTCAAAATGAGACTGGATTTCTTCAGAGAGAACTATATGTTAACGTCTACAAATGCCGTAAGTCATTTTGGGACATCAACCACCAGAGCTCCTGTAATACTCATGCAGCAGGGAAAACAGTTTCATGGAGAATTTGACAGGTGACAAAAGGACTCTGGCACTAGTTCAGAACTCACAATTTAAAGGCTTAGAAACATGAAAACTACATGACAAAAAACTGCTAGCAACCAATCTTTAACCCTAGTTCTTACCTCAGCAGGTTTCTTTTGTTCATTTGCTGGTGTTTTTGACTTGCTCCTATATTTAGAACAAGAAGAAAAGGAAGTGGAAGGACCTGTTAAAAAAAAAAAAAAGAAATAAAAAAGAACCATTATAGCTCATTTCAATTCATTTAATCTTTCAGTAAAACACAAGGCACTCCAGTCTCTTGAATTATCATAATTTTTTGACAAGATGTGGGCAAAAAGCTCTTAGGCAGTCTGTAGGCTTGATTACAGCTCCTCCTGTTCCATTCGTTCGTTGTAAAACCCCAGCACATTGAGTTTATGGGTACATTCTGCTCTGCCCAATACAAGCATGAGTAAACAGAAACAAGCAGGGAGACCACTTTCCTTCCTTTCCTTTCTAACAAAGTGGAAGGAGAAGAAAAACCCAGAAAAGAGTTTGCAACTGCTAAAAAAAAAACACCAAACAAAAAATCATGCTGATGAGAGATGCAAAAAATCATAGTGTAATATCTAGACATTTCTGGGCAAAATGTTATTTCAGTACACGATACATTGACGACTCCCAAGGAATATGACAAGGAATCATAATTATGTATAGAGTTATTGGACAGGTACAGGTTTATAAGAAACAAATAAGACTCTGCCATACAAGGCGTTTTTTTGCATATAAAATGGGAAGATGCAACCTAAGGTAAATGTGTGCCAAGGAACATTTAAAATATAACTTTACCAAACTGTATAACAGACCAAAGTGGAACAGACCAAGAACCAGTATCAGATAACATAACAATCAATATAGTGGTTATAACTCTATCTTATATATAACTGCAACATATCAATGCTCAAACAGCTTGCCACCCCCAGTAATTTTAAAGTTGAGGCTCTGCACAACAAGAAGCAACAGAACTCCTTTAAAAAAAATATTACAAAATAGGACACTGGACAGTAAAATTCCTCTTGAATTACAGATTTCTTTTTCCCAACTCTGAAAGGGAAAGACATAAAAGTTTATCTTCAAATTCTAAGTAGACTCAAAACTATCTCCAGGTTTACAAAATCCTTCACCTCATTTTCCTCCCATAACAGGATTCAGAACACCAAAGGCCACAGAATGCAAAAAGAAATCATGAAATATTTTTTTTTTAATTATAAGAGGTGAAACGGTTTGCCCACAAACCACAGATGGAAACCACAAGGGGGTGATAGACCAAAGAAAAACTAGTAGGTATTACTTACTCTCATTGTCTGAACTGTCACTGGTGCTTAGATGCCTGTGGCGTTTCATCCTGACGCATCCTAAAGAGAAAAAAAAAGTTGATGGCAACCATTCTACCAGAAAATCACCGGCTGCTGGCTGACGCCAAGCCCTCTCTGCACTAAAGGCAAAGTTCCTCTGAAGAGCTTTCAGTCACAAAAATAATCCCAGTTCAGCCACTACGTTTTATTTCTGCAAGCAACTATTAGACCACAGCATTATCTGTGAAACTGAGCACCCTCAAAACCCACATGCCTCCGCTGGGGAGAGCTTGCTTTAAATGTTGCAGAAAGGAGTGCAACCCGCCAGCTGATTCGCAGCAGGCCACGAGTGGTGCTCTGCTCTCCGAGGAGACTCAACGTCCCATCTGTTCAGCCAGAGGAAGAGTTGCCATGGTGGCAGTCGCTAGCTGAGAGTCGGGTGGAGGCCAGGAAATAAGGTGGATGCACAGCAAGGCAAGGATTTAGAAATGTAACTCACCTTAAAAAAGAAAAAAAAAGGGGCAAAAAACCCCAAAGGCATGCATTCAAAACAAAAGGCAGATTTTAAATAGCAATCACAGAAAATGGTGACTGATGCCATTTAATTTAAATCACCACTTAGTTCACAGGAAATGGGGTTTTCAGAAGTTTGAGAAATGATGGAGGGTATCGGTGAGAAATAATTCTATGGTGCTGCGCCAGTTCTATTAAAAAAGGTATTAAGCTTTTTGAAATTTATTTTTGAACATGTAACACATACAGAGAACAGGGAAGAAGAAAATTCTGCACCACTACTTAATAAAATATCAGAATAGTGATCAGTTACATACTCTAAAGTGCTAGCAGAAATCCATATGCATTCTTATAAGTCCCGCCACTCTGCAATATTCAATGTTACATTTGTTAAATAAGAACCAATATTGGTTTACAATTAGTCATACTAAATGAAAATCACCCTGTCTTCTTAATGGATTGAATAAGGAAATCATTAGAGAAAGGAAGAAAAAAATTATTCTGCAAAAACAACAGCAACTTTTTTTTTTTTTTTTTTTTTTTTTTAAAGCAGAAGATAGGCACAGGTAGGTTACAGACAGCTGAACCTGAAATGCCTGCAGTATTAGAAGTACCAGCCTGGCCACACCTGAAATGTAAGCAGTTTCATTTCTTAAACAAAACTACACACCGTTAAAAAAAGCAAGACAGCTAAATATCTCACTTGATAAACCCTCCACATTAGTTACTGTATAACGGGTCTTGAGATTATCCACAGATCATGGGATAAACAAGATTTCCAGATAAGAGAAGCCTGTCCAAAGGCTTTGAAGAGATTGCAATTGAATTGTTTGCAGCACAAGTGTTTAATTTAATTGGAAATTTTCATCAGCCTTTATATTGAAGTGAGTTTACTGAATGTAAATGCCATGATCACTCAAAGATTAAAACAATCCTTTTGACCTATCTGTTATGAAAAGACATTGCCCACACTCCTGGGAGCCGAAAAAGGAAGTGATGCGTGGAGTTTTCAAGCAGGTCGATACAGAACTTCCGAGTCAGGTATTTAACCTGGGGGGAGGACAGAGGGACACAGTGATCAACAGGACAGGACAGCAAAAGGTGCCATTTGTATCACTTAATCAAGCCATAAATTCCCATTACTTAACAGTTAATTTCACATTAATTCACCTTTTCACAGCTCAAGCAACCTGGTGGAGGCAAAGAACAGCATCCAACAGAAGAGTGACATCAAAAACAAAATATCCAAAACACCGCAGGATGTAATTTCCAGCTAGCAATTAAGGCAGCTTGTGCAGGCACTAGTCAGATGAAGAAACCTCCATGAATCTTTTAAGCAAAAGCTGTTTGACAGGTAGAAGGCACTTGGGCTAGAAGGGCTTGTCTTTGTGCATGTTTTGGGGGCACCAGACTTCAAGTTAACTGCCAAGTAGTGAGGACTAGAAGACTACTTCCCTCTTGCCAACTTGTGGAGTTTAAAGGCATGGATTTAATCAAGAGCAAATAGAATGGCATTGCTTATTTGAGAGCTTGTACTCCAGCAGTCAAACCCAGCCACCTGGAGCACACAGCCCTCCCTAAAAAGGAGCAGGTTATGCCCACAGTAACATCTCTGCTGGCAGCCTTCAGCTCCAAACAGCCCTGGCTTACAGACCGCCAGGCATGTTACAAGACCTTGGGAGATACTGAAAAGATGCATCTAGGTGTGCCAAGCCATATTCCTTGTTTCGATTTCTTAGCAAGAAATACAAGTGCTTGCTGCTTGCTTTGTTTTTACGTTCAGATGAATTTTTGAGCAGTTGTTAAAAGGTGCTGAAAGCTTATGGCAGGCGATACTCATCTCTTATAGCCTATATAAACATGCAGCAATAAAACCTTTCCCCTCTGTACTAAAGACAGCTACCTCCAGAGCACAACATGATCAAAGTAGGGTCAAACATGAGCTTGAGAGAGACAACTGCAGGAGGGAACACCCAGGAAGCCTGGACTTCTGCCTGGGCAACTAGGAAGCAGAGAGGAGACGGCTGCTTCAAAGACACCTTACACAGAAACAGCTAGTGTAACAAAAACTTCAGAATCTAGAGCACACCTCTGCCAACAACTCAATAGGAGAAAAAACAAAACAAAAGTAAAAAAAAAAAAAAGTTGTATTTGAGAAGTGGATTTGTAGCAGCTCAGGCAAGAGATTAACATCTCCATCACAGCAGACAGAAACAGAAGAGCAGTCACCCAGGGTAAAAGCCCCAATAGTAATAACACGGGATTCCTGCCTGATTTTTTGCAGCAATATTAACCACAAGAACAGTGAACAAGAGCCCACAGAGCTACAACAAATCACAAGCATGCTGCATCCAGGAACACAGCTTATTAAAGCGGCCAACACGCTAGAAGTTCACTGTATGTCCCTACATGATGCAGGACTAACAGGCTCAGCATCATTCAACAGGACCACCTCTGTAGGGACTTCACTTTTGTTTTTAATAGGAGACTCCTTTGCCATAGCCTTTAGTGCACTGGGGCTGCCACACAACTTCCAGCTCACTCTCACCGCCAAGCACGAGGGCTCATCAGAAAGGCTCACTAACAATGTTTCTGCTCCCTAGTCCTTACAGAGGGATTGCAAAGTAATATCCATTTTGAAGTAAAGCTCCCATCTCACTCCTTCACCTGCCTTTGCAGAATGCAGTAGAATCAGCAGCTGCTCAGTTCAGAAAGACAGGAGACACAAAGCCAGTCTCCACAACACGGAAACCGATGTCAACCTTTCGAAGCTTCAGTTCCGTTCCCCCTAAATCAGTTCATCTCCCTCCAGTCTGTTCCTCAGCTTCAGACAGGGATACTATTAGTTGTGTGACACCGTCCAGAGCAAGGCTGCAAGCAACACTATGCCTCAATTCCTGCTTCTTACATCACTTTTATGCTTTACCACTTGTAAAGCACTGTGAAAAAGTTAAAATAAAATAAAAATTCACATACACACATATCCCTAAAAGGGCTAGATGTAGAAAGAAAGGGCAATCCACACTTAATCAAAACCACAAATCAAACAAGCAGAACCAAAAATCCCACAGAAATGGGTAAAATCTCTCATATATCCTAGCTTTGCCCCTTTTCTAACTTCACCCCTGAAAACTATGGTGAGAATAAAACCTAGAATAAAGGAGCACAATTACTTTTCTTCCAACATGTGCATGTTGAAAAGGTGAGAAATAAATTCATGAGATTGCCAGTGCCCTTTTCCTACCTTAGAGTATCAGTTATGATGAATGGCATATGGCAACATCAAGAGAATCAAGTAAATAGTATTATTTTCACACACGATATGAAAAAATTTAGTAAGTTTTTGTAGC